GTGACAGACGGACGGACGGACGGACATGAGTAACAACAATATACCCGAACTTTCTTTAGAAAGTGCGGGTATAACAACACTTATCAAATAAAATTGCTTAGACATGTGGATCTGGATGTATCAAACGTAAGAAAAAATGCATTTCATTTTATTTGTTCTTTTTTGAGATTTTTTTAAAGGTAGTGGAATATTGATGGAATAATGAGCATTTTTATACATGCACATATTTCTGAATATTAACCTCCTTCCCCGCAGTCACGCATTTGAACGCATATGCCATTTCCTATTTCTAACGCAAAATCACACATTTACCGTTTTCCCGCATTTTCACGTACTTTAAAAAGTTCATTTAATCTTTAATTGAATGCCAATGTCCTTCTACCTTATACTTGCAAAAATCTCATAAAATAAGAAAAGTTATTTTTGTATCAAAATTTAAAGTCAGAATATTATTTACGCTAAACGTTAGAGAAACCTGTACCACGCTAAAAGGTGCTTGCGGGGAAACAGTAAAGTTCTGTTTCTATGACGTGGACATTAAGTGTATGTTGCATAACAGTTCAGTAAGTTGTAAAGTGTTAATCTAAGAAGTACTCTTTCATCACCTGCATACGGAATTTATATCTCTCAGTTGATTCGATACACAAGAACATGCTCTACATATGTACAATTTCTAAAACTAGGTGAATTATGGACAAACAAGTTGATGAAACAAGAATATCAGCAGTCTCGTCTAAAGTCATCATTTCATAAGTTCTATGGTCAATACAATCACCTAGTAAGCAAATAAAATATATTTGAGTCAAATGCGAAATAACTTTTTTTTTCATCCTAATTGTTAGTTCATTCTTTACACACTGTTTTGACGACGGATTTTTCCCGATCATGACAAGAAGCACACGGCGGGTGATATGGACTTGATAATTTGAAAATTTATTGCTTTGTTCTATGGCATTTGTCAACTACCGTGGTTATCGACCCTGTGACCATAGACCTTGTCCTTTGATCTACTTTATAAAAAGTTTAAAATACTATTTTGGATATTTAAGAAGCAATTCTATTCTTTTTAGCCTGTGCACTGGGTGTCATAAGACATAAAATATCATCGTTACAATTCAATTGAACTTGACCTAATAAAGAATACCCCCCACAATTTGATTTAATATTTGAATTTTAAGTGGTGGGTGTTGATAATTAACATTTATCAATGTGTATAAGTTCAGAATACTGTTCTTTGAAAAGGTATGCTATTCAATAATCACACAAACTGAAATTTAAATATTATGAAAATACATCCGGATCGGGATCGGATCCTACAACGGATCGTGTTGAGTGACAATTGGTGTAGGTTGCACAACAGGATTTAATTCTATATATATTAATAAAATTGGTGTAGGTTGCACAACAGGATTAAATTCTATATATATATTAATAAAAAATGCGCAAGTTTGAGTAGATGTAATTAATTGAAAACAAACCTCTGAGAAGTTTCCTTTTCAGATCCTTTTCAGATCTTATAAAACAATTCATTATAAAGATCTTAGTCCAAAGTCCAAAACAATACAAAGCCATCCATTAAGGCAAGCAAGTTTGTTCTGGTCGAAGTCGAGCAGGTGCTTGAAAATCTAGTCCAAACTTAATTACTGACCAACTCAAGAACGGAAAAATTTGCACGCCCTAAATATTAATAATTCCTGGTCAATATATGTGGTTTTCCATCTCATAAAAAAAATTCAGTTCATCTTAGTATTAAAATGCCCGAACCGGAAAGGGATATTCAGGTGATTATTTTGCGTCAGCCATAATTTGAGTGAAATCTAGTGAAAAACTGTTATGACACCTGTAAAGACTTACAAACACGTATTATCACATGTAAAATGATAAATAATTGTTTATAATGATTTCAACTTAATTATTCATTTGAGGGTTGGTAATCGTATTTGACAGACTCTATCGCGGTCGTATATTATGTGTGGATGTTTTTTGCATTTTTATAAACTATCATGCTAGGTTTTTTTTTTTTTGCATGATATACTGTTTATGCTAGTAGAATAAATTGAAGACCACTCTAAGATATAGTTACATCTTTAAAGTATCTAAAATCAGGTGACACACATGCGTTCTTTTGGAATATTCTAGCTATATCTAAGGTAAACAATACAGACTGATCTTTTTAATATACAACATATGAACATTTCTGCAGTTTGAAGATTGGAAGTAGTTATGACATACTGAAAATCATTTTTATACGCGAGAACTTTATTTTATTCTCGCGTATATTTGTATTATTTTATTTATATAAAACAAAAACCACAGGTCGCAAAAATTTTGTTTCACCTATAAATTAATACCACATGGCTGTAACTCGCGAAAATAAGGTGTCGCGAAAATATAGCAGTGATCTACAGTAGACAAATCTCATTATGAGTGAATATTTTAATGTGCTGATATTTTAATCATAATATTTGTATTACATCTTATTTGTAGCTCGGCGATGTATGTAATTCTGGTCTGCAGCAATTCAAACAAAGGGTGTCGTGTGAAAATAATGATGGAACACCAGTAAGTGTAACTTTTCGATAGCATCATATTTATATAATAGTATTTATTGAAATATTGTTCCTTCCTTCATCAATTGTACATGAATTTTAACTATGTTGCATTAGGACGATGGATTAATAACATTTAGTGTCAATCCAGTGAACGAATATCCACCCATTGCTGTTAGAAATGACACTTTCCAGATACAAGAGGTTTGTTTCTTGAATATGAAACATGTCTACAGATATTTGAATGATCTGATGAGACTTATTTCAATAAATCTAATTAAGTAAGAATTTCAGGGCGAAGGGCCGACTCCAATATTCATCGCTCGTATGTTGGATTTCTTTGAAGACCGTGATTGTCCAAGGGTCAACCCATATTTTACATCTCAAAAACTACTGGAAAGGTGAGAAGATTTTTCATATTTTTGAAGAACAAAGATAATGCAGGTATAAAGGGCTGATAAATATATGAATTTTACATAAATGCTAAAATTATAACACTGGATCATCTTTTGTACATTAAATCTTTAAGGAAATAAAACTACATTTCTGACTTTCAATGTTTTAGAAATGCAAGAAAGCATTTAGTGTTCATTGTTATGCAAAGAATTAGTAAAGCCCTTTTAAGCTCACCTTGGCCGAAAGCTCTAGAGAGCTTTTCTTATCAATTATTTGTCCATTGTCTGTCCACGTCTTCCTTGTTGTTCTTGTCCTCGTCATCGTCGTTAACTTTTCACATTTTCGACTTCTCAAGAAACACTGAGCCAATTTCAACCAAACTTGGCACAAAGTATCCTTATGTGAAGGAGATTCAAGTTTGTTCAAATGAAGGGCCACACCCTCTTCCAAGGGGAGATAATTATGAATTGCTGAAAAATTAAAGGCATCATTAAAAAAAAAAACTTATCACGAACCACAAGGTGAGGAAATATGAAACTCATGTGGAAGCATCCTCAGGTAGATTCAAGTTATTCAAATCATGACCCCCAACCCCCCAGCCCCCCGGGAAAGGGTGGGGCCAAGATCGGGTATAAAAGTGTAACAAAGGAATACGTGGGAAAATTTTTAGAAATCTTCTTCTCACGAACTTGGTCAGGAAAATTGAAATTCAAGTGGATGCATCCTTTGATAATGTAAATCATTCCACTTTGTTCAAATCATGATCCCATGGGGCAGGATGGAATCACAATCGGGTTTAAAAATTTAAAACAGGAATATATAGGAATTTTTTAAGTCTTCTAAGAACAGCAAAGCCATTACTAGTTATACTTATAAGAAAGCATCTGGTAGTGTATATTTAAGGTTGTTCAAATCATGGTCCCAGGGAGTTTGGTGGGATCACAACGAGATATTAAAGTTTAACATAGCAATACATAAAAAAATCCACAAAAATCTTCTCAAGAACATCAAAGCCATAGAATATGAAAGCATCCTTAGGTAGTGTAGATTCAAGTTGTTCAAACCATGACCCCTGGGGCAAGGGTGGGGCAATAATTGGTGATAAAGTTTAAAAAAGGATAACATAGAAAAAGTTTTCAATTTTTCTTCTCGAGATCAGCAAAGCTGTGATACTTCTTTATTTATATAGAAGCATCCTCAGGTTCTGTAGATTCAAGTTTGTTGAATCATATTCCATGGCGTAGAGTAGAACTACAATGGATGATCAACGTTTTATTCAGGAATACATAAGAAAAATCGTAAAAATTCTCTACAACAAAGCCATGATTGATCATCAATATATAAAAATGTATAAATTTTAGTTTGTTCAAATACCCCCCCCCCTTTTATCTTTCTTCACAATACTCTACGTCAATGTCAATTTTGCACTGATAAATGCAAAATTTTACATTGACATTCGAGAAATTACTTAGACAAATGACAAAATATGAATTCTAAGAAATGAATACCATGGCTCCTGATCCTACCTCTGATGTTTCAGAGGTCCATGTTTGCTCTGCTCCTATTTTGTATTGTTTATTGCACTTTTAAACTTGAATGCAGTTCGTTATCTCCATATGTAAAGTTGCAAAAAAGAAAAATGAAATTATTTTACGAATTATGTTCCCTTTATCAAGACAGATGCAAGTGAGTATTTCACTGTTAACGCCACAACAGGATTTCTGTATCAAATAAGGAACTTTGATTACGAAGACACCAGCATCCAGTGCGGTTTGGGAAAAACTGAAGGAATCTTAAATATCACTGCAAAGGTAAGCATACATAGTAAATTGGTTGGTAGCGTGTCTAAACAATACGTTTTGGGATGCCGAGTTTGATAAAATGTTCAAAACCCCCTCACAAAATGTAGAATAAAATTAATTAACGTTTTGCCATCAAATGAATTATCAAAAGGAATGGCCCCGTGGGGATCCGGGTTAGAATAGGTCCTCAGTACCCCCTTGCTTGTCGTAAAAGGCGACTAAATGGGGCGGTCCTTCGGATGAGACCGTATAAACCGAGGCCCCGTGTCACAGCAGGTGTGGCACGATAAAGATCCCTCCCTGCTCAAAGGCCGTAAGTGCCGAGCATAGGTCTAAATTTGCAGCCCTTCACCGGCAATGGTGACGTCTCCATATCAGTGAAATATTCTGGAGAGGGACGTTAAACAGTATATAATCAATCAATCAAAAGGAATGTAATCAGTGTCGCCTCTGCTTTCACCGACTCCCACATTTTGAATATTCTATATCTTGTTACTGAAAAGATCCCAAAATCTCTAAATCAACTATACAAATGCATGGAAGAGATCCCAAAATCTCTAAATCAGCTATACAAATGCATGGAAGAATAGAAGCATCTGATTCTCGTAGCAATCACTTCGTAAATTTGAAAAATTTCCCTTGGCTTGATCTTTTAGTAGCTCTGTGCTCAATGAGCACTTTTCTTTGTAGATCAAATGATGCACAGTCAGATTAGTGCGTCCCCAAACCTCGTTTTGCTTTACGTTGTCAAAGGAGTACCACTTTGTGTTCAATCTTAACGTTATATCTCTACGTGAGAGAGGTGCGTATATGTCGACATCTTCGATATATAAGAATCGTAATTGCCAATCGAAATATCATCTGTTTTCAGAAAATCAAGGGTTATTTAAGGTAGTAACTCAGCTAGTCAGCTTAATCGACTGAAACTTGGATACAAAATCAAGTATATTATAGGGTTATTAAACCTATATTGGTGAATATTGGCACGAGTTGGTTGTACAGATGCACGAGTTTGCGAGCTTGCCAATATTCACTAATATAAGTTCAATATATGACTCCTTTATTATATAGCTAAAACATTTCCTCATAATTTATATTGAATTATTCCAACTAAAATAACTCAAACCAATGATTTTTTAGTATCGGTATTCAAATTAACGTCTGTCCTGTTAGCGTTCAATATCATTCCGATGACACTACCGAGCGATATGATTTGCTTAATTAGGTTTTAATGGGTCTAATACGTACTGTATTTTAATAAATAACTCTATTTTAGTGTGAAAAATAAACACATCTTACCTAGATACTACTTCCTTTCTTTAATTTCGCTCTGAGAATTTGACCAGACGACTTTTTTTTGTTTACAACGGGGCGTTCGATATTGAACGCTCGTATTCGGAATGTTTCGGGCATACTCATATACGTAATAAAAAGGTAGCTTTCAATAAAACTTGTGTTTATATTGTTCAGGACGGTCCTCATACCGTATCAACAATCCTGAATGTAAACTTTACTAACATTGATGACACTCCCCCCGTGTTTGTCAGATCTGAATGCTCCACTACCTGCTACTCTTGTCCAGTTCCTGATATTTCTGTTACGATTGATTACTTTGATCAGGTAAATTTATTTACTTTTGGTTTTTTTTTTCCTAATTGAAACATTTCTCTTTTTTCATTAAAGAAATAATGGCACAAACTTCCACTACATTGTTTAACAGACGATTTTATCGATTTCTATAATTCAGGGAACGATCAAAACTGAACCTAGCCACTTAAAGGCCATCGATACAGATAGTCCTCAGTCAAAAATTACCTACAAATTAATAGGTATTCATAGTGTTTTTATTATTTCATTATATGAAATATTAGATAATAGAGTGATCAAGCCAAAAAAGGAACAAGTGGTGTATCTACAACTCCTCTTAAATCACTGAATAAAGTTGATGACACTTCAACAGATTCTTTATTGCATAATGTCATTGTGACCTCTATTCCTCTTTTCGATCGTAGACTTATTTCCTAGAGCAAACCATTGGTTTTGCCACTATAATCATATGGGAGCGGGGGTATCATTAAGTGAGCTCAGTGCTCATAGCACCTCTAGTTTTCGTAAAGTTTAGATAAGAGAAACCATGAAAGTACAGCAAAAATCATTCATATGTGAACACTCATGAAAGGTTCGATGAGAACTATGTAGCTTTAAAGTTTTTCAAAGAAGGATATGGGGATAACGAACAGTATTCAATATCAAAGTCCATAAAACAATATAGAATAGGAGCACAGCAAACACGGACCTCAAAAAACATCAGAGGTCTATTGGATAAGGTGCAATGGAGGAGTGAGCATCCCCTGCTGACCGGTCAAACCCGCCATGTGCTCCTTGTCATGATCGGGAAATAACGGAAAAATCCGTCGTCAATTCAGTGTATAAATAATGGACTAACAATTATTCTGAAAAACGTCAGTCAGCATTTGTCTCAAGGATAAATTGTTTTTGCTGAAAAGGTAATTGTATCGACCATAGAATTTACGAAATTATTACTTTAAACGAGACTGCTGATATTCTTGTTTCATCAACTTGCTTGTCAATAATTTACCTCGTTTTAGAAATTATTCATAAGTAGAGCATGCTCTTGCGAATCGAATCAACTGAGATATATACACTCCATATGCAAGTGATGAAGGTGTATTGCTGCATAAGTAAGGAAAGTTGACGGTAGAAAAGTTAAAGTCATCACGTTTATCATAAAGCTTGGTTGTTAGATAACCATTAACGCCATTTTCAAGTAAAATATCCAAGCCTGAACAGATGTTTCAGACTCTGTGGTATCTTTTATCTCAAGCTCACCAGAATATATCAAATCGACGATGGAATGGACATGACCATTGTTAATTGACAGTACGTTTTATTAGATATATCTAAATGTCGAGTTAAACGCCACAGCAAGTCTTCTTTTCACGCATAAGAGTTTGCATAAAAATGTTGAACGCCATAATATAATAATTAACCTTTGTGTCTTACACCATTCACAACATTTATAACTGCTTTTCTGTTTCAAATGTCAGTTTATCCTGAAACATACAAAGAAAATATTGAGTTTGAAAATGGTACATTCATTCTTAATCAGTCGTTTGCAAACTTCTCCAACTTTGGTGAACCTTCAGACTTCAGAGTGATTGTAGTTCTGCAGGTTTGTTATCTCTTTCATTAATATAAGTAAAATTATGCAAAGTTTCTCATCTCTTTATTTCAGTAAAATCATTCTTTTGTCTTTTCTACTAAATTAAAGTCATGAATATGTACTTAATCACAGGCATTTGGAAGTAACGGTCAGAAATCAGAGCATCTCGTTTTAATATTACATGTAACATTGCCTAAAACCACGACAAAAGACACAACAACCATGGATAAAGAAATATGTATTCTTTCAACAACTACAGAAGGTATAAAACCGCAGCAGCTTAGCAAATTTAAAGAATTATGATTAACGCTTTTTTTATTAATGGTAATGCACATGTAATTCATGTATATGAAAGTCCTATCTCATTCTCATTCAAAAGTTATGACCAAGGTTCTTTCGACAAACAGACAGATTGACTGACTAACGGACAGAGGATTTAATGTCCCTCCGCTTTCGTGAAAGTGGGGGAAAAGTTAAGGAAATTGTTTAACAGGTTTGAGAACATTCATAAGAAGACAGATACAATAGCGGTGATGAAAATGAACTGGAAACATACAGGAAATATCATAGTAAATTATACGAAAGCTGTTCGGAAATTATAAAGGCATTTACTTTTACTCCATAAAGGACAGAGATAAATTCAGGAAAATTCGTCAACAGTTTAGAAGGAATAAAATAATTATACAAAATTTCTAATTTATGGATAATTAGATACGTTCTGGTAAAATGATAAACATGCATATGTCTATCGACCTGGAGCAGCATTGTACGTCATTTTAAAGTCACGTCAGCTGGAGATGTTTTCGCATGTGAAACGATCGGGAAGTGTTTCCTCTCCTTTCCGGTAACATTTATACCATACAAAACTCAAACTTTCTATTTTCTTAAACGATTTTTTAGAAAAAAAAATATGTGCTGTTGCTACACTTGCGTAAATTTTTCATGCTTCATATATACAGAGGGGTTAAGTATCATGAAGTGCTGATTTATGTAACACGGGTCAATGTTCTTAATTCTCAGAGGTAAAAATTGTAGAACTTTTTCCAGAATGACCAACCTGTTAGAAATGGTAGTCCGGAGCGTTTGGCTTTACTTTGGTTGAATTATAAGTTAGAAGAAAGTGTAAATATACGAAATAATAAAACCTTCGACACGTTTTTCACGTTGTTATTGTTTAAGTAGGTTGGTCATTCTGGAAAAAATTCTACATATCGCTACACAAAATTTTAGGTCTCTCGCTGCTCCGCCTTGACGTCAATATCCATTTGGTCGTCGTAATTAGATTTCTTCACAGCGCTATTAATTTTAGATCTCGATATTCCTAATCAGATTTCTAACAAACTTGCACAACATGAAGTCAAAATAAAATTCAAATATTATATACATAAATTGAATTATTTTCGCTTTTATTATAGGTCCACCGGGGGATTGAATGTTGGTGTTACATATTTGCAATATCTGATTTCGTGACTGCGCCGGGTACCCCTACCATTGACACATTTATATACCACTGAAGAGAAGATATTTAATATTTGTAAATTATATCTTGCTTTTATAAATTCTTAATGTTTTATCAAACGTATAGGCAAATTTTCACCGAAAGATGTTCATTAGAAAGAAAATATACACGCTGTCTCAATAATTTCCGAACAGCCGTAGTATGTACACAAACTCTTAGTCTTGATGACAAAAATGAAGGTACGGGGTTTATGCTACTGTAAATTAGCATATATATTTAATCCTTCTAGATACAATAGATTTCTGCGCATGTCATAATTATTTTGTTTTCATATCAACGGTTCAGAAGCATTGATGATTTTTGAGTGTCACTCAAAGTATTTTCTTACATAAAACAGTTTTAAAATGCACAAAGCTTTGTAAAACAAGCAATGAAAAGAATCTTCCAAAGATTCCAAAGACTTTTTAAAATCCTCTTAGAGGACATTTCTCCAAATTTGTACATTAAGGTCATACGCAATGTAATTTGAACTTTATTGGGTTCTTCCCTGGAGTTGAAGAGTTCCACTAAATGAATGACCTTTGTTCAATACTTTAATGTCTATATATGGATTTGTACACCTCTTATAGAACAAGTTTTGATGAAAAAATAATTTGAAATTTTTGGGGTTTTTTTGTATTTTTCTTTGAATAATGCAAAATTTTTCACTATTTGATATCTTTTCAAAACCCCAGGTAACGCATGCTGATTTTTTGTCGAAGAACATTTAATAATATTGTAAGTTTAAATTTAGAATATTTTGCAAAATTATACGTAGATGGGGTACGTTGCGAATGTCCTTAAGCATATCCTTTTTATAAGGCCAGATTACCAGTATATAAGTCCTCTTCTTACTCTTGTGCAGTGAAAATACTTATTTGAAGCTTATTTTATTTTCTTGTTGTTTATCACTCTGTTTTATTTTTTATATCGACTTATCCATTCCTTATATTAAAGACAAGTGCAAATTAAAACATATCATACTTTATTTGCAGGAAAACTTGACCATCCGATACTCGGTGAATCTAAATCGGAATCAACAAAAGACATAACCATCATTGTTCTCTCAATATCTACAGGACTGTTACTGGTAGTTATAGTAGCATTCTTTTTCTATAAAATATGGTCCACTAGAACAAAACAAGAGAGTCCTAACCCAGGTTATGAGGAAGTGAAAAGAGACAACAATCATCAGGAAAATGTGTATGCTACCATAACATTATAAACATTTTATAACCGTTAAGTTGGCTCTGGTCATTTCCTTTTATTCCTTTGCATAAGTTTATCTTTCTGCTAAGAAATTTGATATATTTCTTAATAGCATGAAGATTTGGGTGATTTTATTACAAACAAACCAATGCACAAGAGAATGATTACTCCATTTAAGCACCTGATTCCACCTTTTAAATTTTGAGGGGTCCTTTTTATCTATCCTCTTTAAATATTAATCATAGATCTATTAATTGATCACTATTTATAGATCTATTAATTGGTCACTGTTTGTTTTATTTCTTATTATACACTGTTAGTTCATTAGCTATACACTGAATTGCCGACGATGTTTTCCTGTTATTTCTTGATCATGACAAAGAGCACACGGTGGGTGTGACCGGTCAGCACGGAATGCTCACTACTCCATGGCACCTGATCCCATGCACCTCTGATGTTTTTGAGGTCCGTGTTTGCTCTGCTCCCATTCTATATTGTTTTATCTTGAATACTTGTTGTTATCACCATTCGTTTCATTAAGTAAAAAAAATTAATGAAAAAAATTCATTTTTTATGCTTTCAAACTCATATTAACATTTAAAATAATTTTAACAAATGTACGGAAATAAGGAAAACAATATTCAACCTTAAAAGTCAATTGAAAAATGTAAATTTTTGTGCAAAGCAAACTTCTTCAAAAAGAGCAAACAGGGACCCCCAAAACGTCAGAATTTGGATCAGATACCGTTGGAACATGTGATAGGTGGATAGGAATGCTAATTTCTTCATGGCACCTGAAACAAATTCTGATTTTAAAGAAATTAGCTATTGTAGCTTTTGACTGAATATATGAAAACCTTTATCATGGACTCTTTATATTTATAAAATGAACAATTTTAGTATAGACGTATGGTGATTAAGAAACGCCGAGTTTATGTAAAATTTCCAAGAACGATGTATAGACAATCTGTCTAGACCATAAATAATAAATACCTCATAATTCCAAAAAGGTTATTTTCTATTTGATAAATATTAAATTATGTAAAGTCAGTTTACTTAATTGGATTAGACATCAGGCATGGCCTATAAAATACCTCTCCAAGGTCAAGGTTACACATTTTAAGAATAAACAGTATGTATTGTTTATGAACATTTAATTTGTATATTTATATTTTTCCAAAATCATTTGTATCTATTTCAGAGCTAGAGTTATCTATCTTAATCAAATAGTTACCTGTCTTATTATGTCAAGAGTTATCTTTTTATTTGTAAATTTGGAGTTACTTTTCCTAAAATCCTCACTTCCTGTTATTATTTCATGTGTGACCCACACATGGAGACCCTTGCTAGATTTTCCTCTTGAGACCCTTGCTAGATTTTGTATGAAATGTTTGTAATTTGTTTCTTGGAATATCTATTGTTATCTCTTGAAAGTATGGAACACTGTTATAGTCATAATCTTTAAACATAAAACTGGAGTACGTTCATAACATTTTTCTATGGAAACCAATTTGTGTCAAAACTTTATATTTTGAAGTTAATAGTGAATCTTATTTCTATTTATCTTTTGAATATTATTATTATTATTATTATGTTTATTCAGGCAAAGAGTCAAATTCATAACAAATCATAACACAAATTACATTCCAAAATTAATTAGGGATCGCTTAAAAGTTCTAGCACATACATGTAGCTATCACATTAAAACAATATCACTCCAGGTATTATCACAGTTATCATTATCACAGGATTATACAGATCTCAGAACCAGATCTTATCACATACAACACAAATAAACATATTTTTAATCAATCTTTGCCTAGGATAACCCATGAAAGCAATATATAAAACATGCTTATTTCCAATGGGGTCCTAAGATGGTACAAGTTGATTATAATTTAATTGACTAAGACAGCATAGACAAAAATAAAAAATAAAATTGAGGATTACATAATTTTCCTAGCCTGAATAAAATAATTTGACATATATATACATAATCACAGTTTCAGGTTAATACAAATTATTTTAAAAAGTTTCATTCCCTTGTAAAAATATTATATATAAATACTTTCTTCCATCCTTCGAGCTTCTTGTGTAAGATGCAACTTGACAGCAGATTTAAAACTAGCTCTATTGGCTATAGATTTTACTTCCAATGGAAGAGAATTCCAGTTTAAAATGGCTTGATAATAAAAATTTGAATCATTGTATGCTCCAACCCTGGGTACATGATAATTAAAATTGGACGCTCCCCTAGTAGCATTATTATTCCTATTAAAATTCTCATTTAGATAATTTGGTGCTAGGCTATGATTGATGTTAAAAACATGATTTAGTCTTAACTGTTTTACACGATCAGATACACGTAGTGTATTTATTGAATCTAAAATATCGCAATTGATCCTGGCTCTAGGATTCAGATTTAAAATAAATCTTACTGTTTTGTTTTGAAGAACTTGTAACTTATTTTTCAAAGATTTGGACAGACTTTCGTACCATGCTGATGAACAGTAATCAAAATAGCACTGAATTAGTGCAGATGCTAATGTTAATCTGGATCTTTTATTTAACCATTTTCCATTCCTGTATAAGAACTTCAGTCTAGAATTGACCTTGGCCACGATCTCATCTACTATTAAGTTACATTTTAGAAATTTATCAATTGTGATTCCTAGATACTTAACAGAGTCACTGGATTTGATAATATGATCGTGACATTTAACCTCAAATTGACCTTCATTTTTTAATTTGCGACTTGGGCCAAAAAGGATAGACTCTGTTTTTCCAAGATGGAGAGATAACTTATTATCTATTAGCCACTCGGAACACTTCTCTAGCACCTTCCCAAGTTTGTTAGAGATAACATTAGGGTCTCTGTGTGAGTATAAAATAGCGCTATCATCAGCATAAAGGACGAGTTTACAATCTGTATCTATACTGATAGACATATCATTAACATAGCATAAAAACAATAAAGGGCCTAAAATGCTCCCTTGGGGAACCCCACAAGTAATTTTCTCTGACTTAGATACAACACCTCTGCAACCCACCACCTGAGACCTGTCAGTTAGATATGACTTAAACCATTGATTATCAATTCCCATAATGTCTAATTTGTTACATAATATTTCATGGTCCACTGTATCAAACGCTTTTTGTAGGTCTAACATTATCATTCCTGTAAATAATCCCTTAGAGTTATTGTCCCTAATATGGTCCAACAAATGTATAAGGCATGTATCAGTAGAATATTTACTCCGAAACCCAGATTGAAACTCATACAACATGTTATTGTTATGTAAAAATTCCTTAAGTTGACAATAGACAATTTTCTCTAAAATCTTTGATACTACACTTAAAATACTCACTGGCCTGTAATTCCCTACTTGGAGTGGGCTACCCTTTTTAAATAAAGGCTTGACCCTAGCCTGTTTCATACTCTCTGGTACACATCCAGAACTTATTGATTGATTAATGATTGAAGTTATAGGTGATTTAAGAACCCTTGCTCCTATTTTTAAAAATTTTACTGATACCTCATCAAGACCAGTACTTTTTGTTGTACTAAGACCACATAGTTCTTCATACACAAAAGTCTCCGACACAGGACTTAAAATAAGAGAATTGTTGTACAAATTTCTGTTTGAATAAAAACCTCTAAAATGATTTGACAAAACATTGTATGTGCCCTTTTTTTTTTTAATATTTTTTATTTACAACTTATTAGACAGTTTATACTACATCTATAGTAATATATTGACATTATTTATCATGTAACTGATGAGTAATTCTTTGTTTTTGTTTTTTGTTTCAGTTCTTTATCGTTATCACAATAAATCGATGCACTGATTGTTGTGTGTGGTTAACTATGCAATATACAGGCAGAATAAAGTAGTTTACAATGATGAAAACATTCACAATTTCTTTGTTAACTAGAATTGGGGAAGTGATGAAAAATATATTATAAAGAAGTTATTATTATGTATGTACTCACAATACAATATAATGAAAAAAAAATTAAAGCGGATACATATAATAACAAAACGGAATAAGTGCATTGGTAAACAAATATGCAAGAGAAAATACAAAAACAGAAGAAAATAATAACATGAAGAGATAAGTAAATTTGGATCAATGATACTGAACAATAGAAAAAAGGGGAAAATGTGCACTGACAAATATCTAAGGAAAATTACAACATATACATGCTGAGATTTTAAGTAAGTACAAATATCACAAGATAGTCCAATTCTGTCTAGTTCTTTTTAGCTCACCTGAGCTGAAAGCTCAAGTGAGCTAATCTGATAACATTTTTTCTGATCACATTTTATCTGTAGTCCGTCTGTCTGTCTGCAGGTGTCTATCTGTAAGCTGTACACATTTTCGATTTCGTCTCAAGAACCACTGGGCCAATTTTAACCAAACTTGCCACAAAGCATTCTTGGGTAAAGGGGATCAATTTTGTTTAAATGAAGGGCCAAGTCGTCTTCCAAGGGGAGATAATTATGAATTAATGAAAAATTAATGGTATCATTTAAAAATCTTCTTCGCCAGAACCATTGGGCCAGGAAAGATGATACTCATGTTGAAACATCCTCAGGTAGTGTAGATTCAAGTTAACTGTATACAGGGTTATTTTCGCCCCTCTTATTTTCGCTCTTTCACACTTGCAAACAATATTTGCCCCATTTGAAATTCGCCCAGTTATAGTTTTGTTTAAGAAATTATAGAGTAGTTCTTGAATTCGCCCCGTTCTAATTTCGCCTAATGAGGATAGGGCGAAAGGGGCTAAAATAAAACAGGGGCGAAAATTTGTCTGTATACAGTATTCAAATCATGACTCCAGAGGGTAGGGCGGGGACACAATGGCTGCATGATTTATATTTTACATAGAAATATATCAGAAAAATCCTTATAAATCTTCTTCTAAAAACCACTGGACCAAAAAATGAAACTCATGTTGAAGCATCCTCGGGTAAATTTAAATTTGTTCAAAGTATGACCCCCATGGTTAGG